CTTGGGTCACTTCTGGCAGAGCTGGGAAACTCTCAGTCCAACCAGAGCAAAATCTGTCAGCTTGCATTTTTTCTGCCACAGTTTCTCAGAAAATGCTAGATTAGGTAATTCTGTAAGTTACGCTGATTCATCTTAACTGTGACACGTTCTATGGCTGAGATCACGCAGGCTGCAACAACTGCTGCTGCATCAAGAGTGGAGGACTTGGTCTTTTGTTCAAATAACAGGGGCTTGTATTTTTAATTTTTAGTTGAGACTAAACCCTTGAAGACAAAACAGACCTACCTGTGGTATGACAAATAACCAGAGCAGTGCTTCTTCAGCCAGGAATGAACATCTCAGACCTGAGTGGATGCCCTTTTCCTTTCACCACATAAATAAGTATGTCAGCATACTTTTATTTTCACCACATAAGTAAAGGATGTCAGCAAAATACCTACTTAGTTGCCCTCTGTGGTTTGGTTTATCAAGAAAAATTCATTCTCACTTAATGGGTATCTGGACTTGAATTTTGACATCATGGTATAACTATGACAAGCTCCAGTTCCTACCATCACAAAGTCTCTGTTGTGAAGTTCTCACCCTGCCCTGTGTGTACTGCAGAGATGACCACACCAGGGTTCAGCTCATGGTGAGATCCCCACAGAAGGTGTTTCCATAGAAGAAGCCACATTTCACTGCCTGGGTACAAACATTGGACAGTTTGCAGGTTTTTAAGTTGTCAGACATAGGCTGGAGGCATACTGAATAAAAGGATTTAGGAAGCTGTTACATTATTTTTAATGTCTCCACTGCTTCTCAAGGTTTGGTGTTGCTTGTACTGCATATTACAGTCATTCTGATGTTTATAGACAAGGAAATACAAAGAAAATATTCGGGTTTTTTTTAAAAAAAAAAGGTGGTGGGGTTTTTTTTGTGTGGTTTTTGTTTGTTTGTTTGTTTGTTTTGTTCTTTTGTTTGTTTGTTTGTTTTTTTTTTTGTAAACATATCTGACCAGCTGATACTAAAATAAATTCACTTTGGCCTTGTACAGTAGCTTTTGCTCATATAACATCTAATGGAAAAGCTAATTGACATTCTGTCATTTCTGTTTCAATTAACTGAACTCAATGATGCCGCCCTCTAGAATTCGTGACAGTTGATCTATTTCCAAAATAAACCAAGTAACTAAATTTATTTGCAAACAAAAATTACCTCATTCTGGAATACATGCTAAGCCTTTTTCTGTCCTCATCAACTGGTACAAGAGAAAATGTTAAGAAAATGCTTTCAAACAGTTAATGATCAAAAGGGAGACTCTATGTCACAGGAAGACCATGGTTGAGAAAAATTAATCATAGGTAGTTTCAAATGTTAAAAAAAAATAAAACAGCACCTTCAATAAAAAACAGCATACTGGCAATTAAGACAGAAATTCCAGCAGAAAAACATAGCAATTACGGATAGTATTTCAAGAAAAAAAATGTATTATAATGAAAAATCAGAACTTTCATGGCATCATCCATGTAAGCATCTGAAAGCATGTTCCAGGAGTGCTGAGAGGTCCCCAGGTGTGTGATGGCAGGATCTGGCAGGGCATCCCTTGGGCATGGGATCAGCCACAGCCCTGGGATGAGGCTGACACTGGCCAGGCCTGGTGGGAGCTGTGGCTCAATCAGGGCCAAACATCAGAGGTTCATCTTAAAAGCAGCTCCCACAAAAAGGGGCTGTGGCTTCCCCAGCATCCCCAGCCACAGAAGGAAGAGGATATTTTCATATTTCCAAAAATTTCCATGTTTCCTCCATAATGGGGAAATGCACTCAGAGCCCCAACATGTATGGAAATTTGAGAAGCGCCTCAGTCTTCTGCTGAGAATAGATGCTTCTGCTTATATAGGGATGTATCAGTGTTGAGCAATGCCGGATTGGATAGGAAACTAGGTATGAATTTCCAAAAATGCAAGAGAGCAGTGTGAAAATAAAGATTTTTGTTGGACAAGTGGTTTCTGGCTGCATGAGATTTGAATTGGTTGACAAAACTGTAAAATCTTCCACCGCAGGATGAGTGTGTGTGTTCATAACAAAACTCAGGCATGCTCAGTGAACCAGCAAATAATCCACTGTCACTAGCACGGCTATTAACCATCTGCAGGGATCTTTTAGTGTAATAAAGCTGGACATGGAAATGTGGCAATGGCCTTATTACTCAGGAGCGTGTTTTATGTTCCTTTAAACATGTAAAATATCTTTAAAATTAAACATCTTCTTACAGCCAAAATGCCTCATTTTTGTTTACAGGTGATCTCCACCAATCTGAGTTGCATTGTGAAAGGGGTGTACATATGGTAGTCAGCAAATAGAATGATGTGCCTGTATTATTATCTAAGTAGACTTAACTTTCAACTGTCTCATTAGTATTTTGTTTTGAATGTAATACACCGGCAATTACTCCCTTTGCTCCCTTATTAATATTTTAGGACTGTATTGTCTTGTTTTCCTCAGAGGTACAGGAAGCAGCAAAAAGGAAGAAACTCATCATTGAGCTGTTTTGTTCCTCTATTTATGGTACAGGTCAATGTGTTATGGAAATTTTTTGAGAAAAAAAAAAAAGAAGAGCAGTGTTTGATTTTTCAGCATGTGGTAACACAGTGCATCCATTCCTGTAACCCCCCCAAGTAGTTTGCTACCTGCACACCTTATTCCTGTGTAACCTTTTCTATACATAAATATTTGCATAAAGTGTTTATCTTGATATACAATTTAAAAAAACCAAAAACAACAACCAAACAACCACCAAACAATACCCCCTATTCTGTTTATTCTCTGAACATTTCTCCTCCATTCATTCAAACAACTTCCTCATATTTTTTTGTTCCTGGATGTTCTACCTACACCTGATTCTCCTCAGGTAAAAGAATTGGTATGTGTTTCCATTATTGTATTTGGAGGAAAATATTGCACAGTGCTGATCTGGCGTTGTGGAGAAAAGAATGTACCTGTTCCCTCAGGGGCTGTACTTCTCCTGCCTGTTCCATTGCCTGCTGGAAATGCAATTCATTTCACTGTCCCACAGTCTTATTACTTCGGTGTTATTTTTATCCGTATCACTGTTCGTTATTATTTGCCTTGTTATAATGCCTAGATACTTCTGCCAAGATCAAGACTGTACAAATGTGGCCTGAATCTGCCAGTAAAATGTTGCATATTATAGTGGAAGAGGTAGGAACAAGAACAGAGAAAGTGAACATTATTGTTTCAGGTTTATGTAGAGAACAAGCCAATCTCAGGGAGATGTTCTCACATCTGGGAGTCTCGTGCTGGTTTGAATGTATGTCCCACTGCTCCCAAAAGAGATGGCAGGTGTGACAGCCACAGTCCTCTGGAGGCTGTTGGACACATGTCTGGGAGTGCAAAGAGCTGCCTGCGTTTAGGCAATCAGACGCCTCTGTTCAGCCTACTTGAGGTCACTTGCTTCAGGTTCTTCAAGAAATGTATAGCAAAATGTGCTCCAATATAAATCCCATAATTTCCAGTTCACTGTCTTAATCACAAATTAATTATTCCTGGTTTCAGCTTCTCTTTTTTTGCTTTCTCCCAACCACCTACACTACTGCTGTTATGAAGTGAATTATCCTTTCTTGCTTTAAAATTTTCTTCTTTCTGTTTCGATCTTTGATTTTGGCTCCAGTCCTCCTCTCTCGCTCAGCAGAAGGCTGAACGCTGCTTTGGTTGGAGGCTGTGTTACAGAATGTTCTCCACCCCTTCTGCTCTTTTGTTGGCATCTCCTCCCACCCCCAGCATGCCAAACAACTCCAATGCTCTCTGAAGCGCAGGGATCGCTAGCCTTTGTAATTCTGTTTTGGCCAGCGTGCCCGTAGCTGTTGGTAGACGGCAAACAGGTGATGCATCAAAAAACTCATTTCTGTGAAATACCCACTCACAATCAGCTCTCCAAGATAATTACATATGTGTGAACAAAAAAATTATTCTGATTCATGTCAGATGGATTTCCTTTTAAGAGTCATGTTATACATTTATTTCAGGCAAGATTAGGTAGAAAAGACTGACCTTCTTAAAGCACTCTGTTATTCTCTACAGTCGCATTTTTCTTTCTTTTTCTGTCACTAAGAAGTCATTCCATTTCTGTGTTGACATTTTTATCTTCTTTTTATAGCCTTTCCAAAAGCCATGTCACTTACTGAACTTTTGCTGACAAACAAAAGGGAAAGAAAAATGTCATAAACCTCCAGAAACAGCAAATGGCAAGGGCATGCTGTATTATTCAGATATGGTTGAATAACTTTTTAGCATTCATTTCTCATTTCACTCCTTTAGTTCCACTGTCTTTTCCTTCTGGTTTTGCTTTAATTCTCTTCTACCCAGTATTTTTGACTCATCTGTTTGTTCTGACACTTCCCTCTTTTTTTCCCATAATTTTTTTATGATCAACACTTCTTTCTTTAGAATTAATCTATTTGATTAGTTCTGTCCTCACTTTCATTTAGCCTCTCTGCCAACCCCTTCAGGTATTGCATTGCTATGAAAAAAATTATATGTAGAAAATTTCCTAAGTCCACAGCATCTGCTATTCATCAAAATGTCTCTGTTAATGTGCCATTTTTTTGCTTTACATTATCAAATCTGGATGAATCCATGTTATTTACCTACTTAACAACCACCTTATGAACAAATGTAATTTTAGGATTGGAGCATCTAGTTCTAACGCCAAGCTAAATGGCCACCACTAACTTAGCTAATGTAGAGCTGCCAGAAAAATAGTTTTTCATGAGAATCAGAATTAGTGGCTCATGAGAAAAGTTATAATGATACTTCTTATTCCACTATGAGAAGTCAGCCTCTGAATATGTGTTTTTTTAGAGCCATACTGTAAATAGCATTGTTGTTTTTTGTCCTTAATATATCTGTTGCATGGCCTCCATAATAGATGCAGACTCTAGGGGTGCTGAAATTGCTTTAACAGCACCTCACCCCAACTGGTTTGAATGTCACTCTCCTGCAATATGGGTCTGATGCTTTTCTGCCAACAGCACATTGCTGAGTTGGTCTCCAGCCAGGCCAAAAGGTCGGACCAGGTGTTTGGAATATATTCTGCAAGCCTCTCTGAAGAGCTTGAGAGCCATCTGATGCCGTGAGATCATGGGCTGAGGAGCACTGCTTTGGTTTCGTGTGCTGCTTCGGTCTGCTGACAAAATATCCACACCGAGAAAGCCACTACTATCACAACACAGCCAGTGAAGACGCTGGCTGAGCTCATCAGGTACTCCCTCCTCTTGAGACTACAGATAAATGGCCAATGAGGAAGCTGTGTGATTTCATCACACTTCGGATCTAAAAGTGGCTATGGAAAAGCATATGGCTTTGCAATTGTTTTTGGTTGTTTTTTTAGGTTTTATTTCTCTCTCCTTCCCTGCACAGACAGTTGCTGTCATCTTCACGAGATCAAATGTGCACTGGTGTCATACTTGATGCTGAAATTCACACCTACTTTCCTTCAGCAGCCCCAGCCAAACTTTAAAGAATTTCTAACTGCTGAGGATTTTTTTAGAAGGTATTTGATCATTATGCTTTTGGCAGATTTAATTTTGAAAATGAGGTGATGTAACGAATTAAAGAAAAGGGAAAAAAAAAAAAAAAGCCACAGAAGACTGGGAGAGCTACTGTTTCACACCCAAAGAACAACTGTTGAATCTTCGTTCGGCAACCGCCCGCAGCCAAACCCCCGATAAAGCAGAAAGATCCGTAGGTGTCCCTGAAGGGCGGAATCCTGCGGCACTGGGGGCTCGTGCTGAAGGAGCCTCCTGAGCACTGGGTGCCGGGAGCGGGGCCAGGACGTGCCCACGAAGGGAAGGTGTGCCCGCGGGGCGGGGCAGGGGCCGCGGGGGAAGCCGGTGCTGAGGGCAGGAACGCCGGGGGGCGGGCGGGAGAGCAGACAGGGATTTTCGTCCCGGAAAGGGGCAGGGATTCCGCCCGCCTGGGCAGGCGCCAGGGCGCTGCCGAGGGCGGCGGCTTTCCCGGAGCGGAGCGGGGCGGGGGCGGCGGTGGCGGTGCCCGGTGCCGGACCCGCGCCTCCCTCCCTCCTTCCCTCTCTCCCTCCCTCCCTCTCTCGGCCGGGGCGGGGGAGGCGAGCGGGGACACCCCCGAGGAGGGCGAGGGCCGGAGGGGCGGCTCGGAGAGCGGGGCCGCCGGCGGCGACAAGCCCGAGACGCGCTCAGTGTGCAGCAGCAGCGAGAGCGGCAGCGGCGGCCACGCCGGCGGGGCCGGCCCCATCTGCAAGATCTGCTTCCAGGGCCCCGAGCAGGTGAGCAGCGGCGCCGGGGCGGGCGGCCGGCGCCCCGCACGCCTTCGCACCCTCGGCTCCGGGGTCGAGCCCTGTCCCTGGTGCTGATCTCGGCGTCGCTCCCCGGCAGGAATCGCCCTCCCCGGCTGCCGCTGTGCGGGCTGGTTGTGGCTAAAGCCTAAGGCGAACCTGAGCCGGCGCAAAGCTTTGGGAGAATTCAGGGATTTTGCCGTGTCTGGCTTGCACGCTGGGTGTCCTCTGGCGCTCGCGCTCCCTGGTTCACCTCTGAGGGACTCCACACAGTACGAATTTCTCAGGTTTCTGTTAGACTTTAAAATGAGAGTGTTAGCTTACAGATAATGCTGAGAAGACCTCCAAGTGTCATCTCTGTCGTGACGTTACTGGCATAATAGCAGCAATGGGTCTGTAACTAGCGTTTTATAACTTGTCTTGGAGTTGGAAAGAAGAGAATAGCTGATTTATATAATACACAAACTACTGGGGGAAGTGATTACTTACATTATTTAAGGTCCTGGCTGACAGCTGGCTAGCTGGACAGCACAGAGCTGTGCTCCAAGGGCAATGTTCTCTTGGAATCATGACATCACACATTTCTTTCTGAGTGATGACTTCGAATAGCTGTTGTAGAAATGCATCCAACCACTTTTGGTACCTTTTGAGGTATTTGAAATGGCTGATGGTACTGTTGTTTAATGCATGGTAATATTTCAGTTGTTTCACATAGGTATGTGAACATGTGTAGACAGCTGACTTTTCTCAGTAGAAGCAGCTAGTTATTTTTAAGACAGTTACATTTTTGAGTATTTCATAGCCAAAAATGCTTTTCCAGATAGTGAAATTGAGATCATGTCATTGTTACAGACCCCTAAAGATTTTGGTATTGAGTGTACATGTGCGTCAAAGGTTCCTTTAAAGTTGATGTTTCTGTATTGCCTTTCCAGGGTGAATTGTTAAACCCTTGCCGCTGCGATGGCTCAGTACGATACACGCATCAGCTTTGCCTCTTAAAGTGGATAAGTGAAAGAGGGTCATGGACCTGTGAACTCTGCTGTTACAGATACCATGTTATAGCCATTAAAATGAAAAAGCCTTGTCAGGTAATTTCTTCTTTTTAAAAAAAGTATGTCTTTGCAGTAATTTTTTTTAAACTTAATTATTCTTACTTTTACTTCCAAGGTTTTTGGAAAATGCAGCAGAAGATCCTATATGCCTCACCAGCTAGCACTTGCACCCACTTGAAGTTGGTTTTTAAGACCAGTTACATACTAAAATGTGTAGTGATTCGGTTCTGTTATGTTCTTCTAGTTTTTGGTTTGTTGTAGAAATGGTCTTTAGAGGTTGGTAAATTCTGTAAATAGTTAAATCATGCTGAGATGTGACAGAAAACTTGGATCTCCCAGATTAAGTTCCTAAACTTTAAACAAGTCTTTATTGTTTGTTCAAGACTCACTCAGAGGTTGATTTTGTTCTTTCTTCAACTTGGGGTCCAGAGGGGAGAGGGGAAGAAAGCTTCTGTTGTCTGTCATCTACTGTAAATATATAAAAGGATGTGAATTATCAGTCTTGGCACAATTCAGAGCAGTAGAGCACTCTGAAAGTTCTGTCCACCTGTAGCTGTTTCAGGAGCTGAAATATGCAGTGACATTTTCCACATGTCTGTTTTAGCAGCCTCAGAACATGAGATGCGAGTTAGAGCATTGTAGTGGTAGCATGTTCAGGGAGAGGTGGGGGGAGAAACCTAAAGCTCCACCAGATCTCTTAGGGAAGCCTTAATACCACTTTGCATATCAGAATTCTTTAGAGGCTTTAAATTCCATCTTGGAACTTATGCTTTATAACGTCTGAGGAGCACATTTAGTAACATAATTGTATCTTTTTTTAGTTTTGATCCTAAGAGCTCAGAGATGATAGAGCTCTCAAAGGCCAGAGCACCCGGGTCATTTTTCTGTGCCTGTGTTTGATTGGAGTTTTATAGAAAAGACATGGTTGGATGGTAATGGCAGTTGTGTGAACGTGAGAAGCATTCCTTGGATACAGAATATCTGAAGTATTTGCTTACAGCTGTTCAGATTATGGGCAAGTACTTTCAGAGCCAGTAGACTTCTATTTTTTTTCCTTCATTAATTCTCAAAGGAAAGGTTTTGGTAAACTTTCCTGGAGGGAATCTTTATGATGGAAAAAAGTAAAGGATTTGTAAAACAATCCAGAAAATGAAGGTGGTAGATTCTGTTTCTACACAGACATTGTTTGGCATGGGGTTTAATCCTTTTGACTTTTTCTAACCTTTGAAGAAGTCTTTCTTTTTTGCATATCCAAAGCAATCTCATCCTTTTCGTAGAAAAGATGACAATAGCAATAGTTTGCAATTATAGTATCTGAAAATTGTTGTTAGACAGCAAAGACATGACACAGTTGCCTGCAAAGAGGTATCTAGTACTATTTGACATGTCCTAAGGTAGTCAAAATGTGCACACAGAATAGCAGATATGACAGAACTTATTAGGGACTCTGGAACTGCAGATGGAGGCCAAGTGGATATTAAAGGACATCTGAAAGTCATTAGACACCTATCTGTGGACAGCAGAATCAAGCTCAGGTTTGAAGAACAGCTATTCAGTTTCTGTGGAAAAGCAAAGCAAAGCAGATGACACAGTAGGCAACAAAGTTTGGTCAAGCTTACAAGGGAAGTAGAAAGAAATTGAAGAGACAAAAGTTAAATGCCACTCATTGCATTAGTTGTTGCCTTTTCTTTCCTTTTTGGTGGAGTTGGAGGTGGGGGAGGGAAAGGAACCAGATTCATGTTTCTCATTCAATAGCTTAATACTTGATTTATTCTTAACCATGTTTTTAATTTTTTAGGTAAGTCATTTAAGTCTGTCCTTTCTTTCTTGACAAAATAGCATACAGAAAGATTTCATGGAGTTGCAACTCAAATAATAAGTTGGACATATAATCCTGAGGTCAAATTCATGACACCCAAAAGATCACCCATCTCTTTGAGGAAACACAGTAGTACCTTTCTCAGTTTCCTACACAGAATATTCCTCTTGTAGTAGCAGAATCTTAAAGGAAGTCTCAAACTGCAGTCATCTGCGTAATTTTATAGGGGGAATCAGTCTTAAAATGCACTTACTCACTCCCCCATACTCTTGACTGTAATAATATTGGCCACTTTTAGCAACTGACTTGGCTTAAACTTTTGGTTCTGAGTAGTTTTCTACACTACACAAAAGCTTGTTTTAAGGTAACTTTTTGGTTAGTTTTGGTAAAAAGCTGAGTGACACCATTTCAATACAGAAGGAAGTTGAAACATCATGAACTGAAGTAGTGAATGTACTTAGAAGTTCCCAAAAAAGCAGGACTTCTTGGATTACATTAGATACAGTAATTGGACAGGAGTAGTTTACTCTCTCAACAACCAGTAGTCCGCCTCATACATCGTCCCAGAATTGTCTCTACCAGTCTTTTACGTATTAGAATTTTGTAGAGAGTGTCATAGGAGAGAAAACTGGTGCTATTAACAAAAATAGCTTTTTCTCAGGTGAATGCAATTTGTACCAGGTCTATGCAAACCTGGTCTATTTACTCTCAGGTCTGTGCAGATTTACTACAGCTCCTCAGGTTTGCTTTCATCTCATGTATTTAAGGAACTTTACAATGTGTAGAGACTTAAGAAAGAAGAGGTTTTTCTATAATGTCGTTCAGAATGTTGGAATAGAAGTGAATATTCCATTTAATAGCTAACGTGTTCTGTGGTTTCCATTGCTTCATGGAAGGCAAAGTTATCTTCAAGGAGTGTGTCTCCTGGGGCAGCGCATTCAAGAAACAGAATATTTCTATTTCGATAGAAATTCTTCCAGTGTCAGTGTTCCAGTTCGAGATTCAGCAGCTACTACATAATTCACTTTTAAGAATCTAATCCTGGAAACACATAGGTTTTATTATGGAAATAAACCTTAAAACATAAACAAAACCCCAAATTAACCCATGGGCTAGCAGTGGAAGATGAGCCCACAAACAGGTTAATGACATTTGGTATGATGCATAACAGAGATTTGGAATTTTTCAGTATCCTTCTTAGGATCATATCAGAAAGACTTATTTAACTTTGCACTAGTCCATTAATGAAAATACACATTCATGTTGCTGGACTTGCTCCATTGGCAGGGTGGAATTTGATCCAGTAATAGGCAGGGCTATGTTAATAACTAGAAAATTCCCTTATTGCCCCTCAAACTATAATAAAAACTGCTTTGAGCAGGAAGTTTTGGAAGGACTTAAAAAGGAGAAAGAAACTTCAAATGTATGACTTGGAAATTAAACTCATTTGGAAGTATATTTGAGATTAACAAAAAGAAAAAAATGCAAAAAGAAATATTTTTATTAGTTTGTTAAGGTTATAATTTGTACAGATTTCCTTCCTAAAGGAAATATATTCCTAAAAGAACTATAAACATATTGTTTTATTTTTATTGGTGCTATCTAATTTTTATGCTGTTAGAAGATTAGTTCATGGGCTTGCACTTAAGTATGAATGTGTATTGAAGAATGCCAGTGCTCTTGTAAGATTCAGAATTAATGTTTAAAAGTGGAATAGAATCATGCAGAGGTAGAGAATATATACTTTGGTGCTAAAACCTGTCACTTCTATAAGTGAATAGTAAAGATATTTAGAGAGTAGCCTTTTCTAGACTGTTAGTGTAGTCTGTCATAGAGTAGTGTTATGTTAGATGTTTGATAAATCCTGTACATTAAAACATTATATTCTGGTACTTTGGTGAAATGGACCTATTCCAAAAGTGATACAGTAGATAGATGTGCTAATTTAAAACCTAATTGTGTAGCAGTTCAACACCTTTTCTGATACCAGAAAGATCATAAAACTTATTTTAAAAAGTAAATGCTTACTTGTTAGGCCTGATTTCTTAAAATGGAAAAAATTAAGGTGGTACTTTTCAAAAGGTAAGGTTTCACTTTTCCAGATTTTGTTAATGTATGTAATCTTCACTCATTTAAGAAAGCTCACTGGCATCAACTAGATAAGCATGAGCAAAACTGCATAGCAGACTGCAGGTATGTGAATGCATGTTACACTAAAAAGTGCAAAAGTCAAGTTCTTCAGCTACTTCAGTATGGAGGTCAGTGTCCAGAAAAAATTGTGTAGTAAATGTTTAGTAGAAGCTTTTGCTAATGACTATGCTCAGCTGAATGACAGCGTTAAGTTCTTCTAGGCATAACTAAGAAGGGGAAAGGGAAAAGGCTGGAATCTCCAATTATACATTCTAAACTGCACAATGTACCAAGAACAATCTATTAATGTCTCTCCCTGTACTGAAGATCCAGAAGAATACATTGTGCTATTCTGTATGTCAGTGGACAAAAAAGAACAAAAAGGATCGTTCTAATATTGGACAATTTACAAAGAAATTTGAACAAGAGATAAGGAACAAATCTATGGTACACTAGTGCTGGTTCCGAGACCGCTGGTACGCTAGCCATTTCTAACAATAATTCAGTTTTTGGCATCTCAAATGGGATGTGTTTTAAGAGGCTTCTTAAAAAGAAAATCATGAAGCTTCGCAGGCACCCTTTGAATATGAAGGCACTATGCAAGAGCTGTTGGAAAATAAAATACTTGGCTGAGACAAGTATAATGAACTGAATGGAAATGAGATTCAATGCCTGAGTAGTCATTAGAAGGTAATTAATACTTCAATAAATGCCTGGAAGGACTTAAAAAATCAAATCAAGTCATTTTAATTTCATGTGATGGAGAAGAGGGTCCATCATAGTGGAGAAAGAAGGCCAGTAACATGGTCAAATTAGTGGAAAAAAAGGAATTGCACTTGAAGCGGTTTTGCACTTGCTGAGAAAATTACTTTTGTCATGAGCTTAAGAGATGTGTTATAGTAATTGAGACAGAAGACAAAAGTGATGATGAGAAATTAATTTTTTTATGTATAAATAGTCTTAGATATTAATTAGAAAGTACATGCAAGCTTTAGAAATATTGAGAACAGGAAGATCAAAAGAGATATTTAAATTTAAGATCATTCCAAGAACAAATTCGTGTTTTGGAGCAACAAAACTGTGCTGG